AACCTGCGCCCATGGGCTGCAGGCGTCCCATGATGACCGTGAATGCAGCCCAACACAAAATCATAAATTTACTTATTATGAGATTGTTTTTGTGATCACATGTCACAATATCTTTAATGAGTGGCCCAAGACAACTCTTCTTCCAGTGTGGCCCAGAGATGCCAAAGGTTGGACATCCCTGCAAAGTTTATGAGGGCAAGGGATTTTGAATGTTTGTTTGCTACTGTATAATAGGTGCTTAATCAACAGTTATAGAATAAATGGTGCAAACAAGCAAAAGACTGACTTCTTCCCAAAAGTAATTGTTTTGGTTCACGGTGATGTTAAAAGCACTGTAGATCTTGAACTGCATCATAAATTATGAAAGAGCAATTTAATTAGATTTAATGTAATTTTAGTTTAATTCATTGTATATCTGGTATCTTGATTTTTCTAAAATGTTTAAGATACTATATTATTTATCTTTTTTAGTATAGTCATTTACTATATTTTGTTTAGGAAATTATTTTGTGCTAAAATCTTGTTGCTTGATATTTGATAGTTATGAATTCTTTAAAATAATAAGTTTTAATAAATAATAAACAAAATAATAAATTATACTCTATAAAGAAGTAAACTTATTTTTCAAAGTTGATAATGCAGGTAGCATTTCCCACATGAATAGAGGTACCTACCTGCTATCTCAGCTCCTTAAACTCGTAGTCTGCTATTGATCTCTTGGGTGTTCTCACTGGCCTCGCTACTGACTTCACCACTGACTAATTGGGGACGGGGGACGGGGATGCTGCTAATTGTAATTTTCTTTATTCTTCACTGACTCAAGCATAGACATCCTTCCATTTGCCATTGTGGGTATGGATGGTTAGAACATTTAAAAAAGAAGCGTCCTGTTTAACAAAGGGAATTAACATGGAGAGTAAATTTCACTCAAAAAAGCAAAGTCCTCACCATGGCCTGCAAAGATATACATGACCTTGTCTTTGATGTTTCTGATTTCCTGCCCTTCCCTGCCCCTTTCTTACTGGGTCTTACCACAGTAGCTTCCTCACTGATACGGGAACATTCCAGCATGTCCCTACCTTAGTGCCTTTGCCCCAGCAGTTCTTCGTTGCCCCAGATGTTTGCATGTCTAATTCCCTCCTTCAAGGTCTTCCTCAGACTTTACCTTCTCAATCTGGCCTACCCTGATCACCCTACATAAAACTCCAACCCATCTCCTATCCCTTTACCCTGTTCTCTTTTTTTTCCCTATAGTACTCAATCACTAACATACTATGAAGCATAATTTACTTATTTCTTACAGTTATTTTCTGCCACTAAAATGTAAGTTTAATAAGGAAAGAGTTTGTTTTCTATTGTTTTGATTATTTTAATAAACAGGTGTATCTCAAATACCTAAAACATTGGTGTCAGGTGCACAGAAGATGGCCAGTAATTACTTGTTTAACAAATAACCAATTTGATTTTTGCAACACTGAGTTTGTTCTCTTGCGACCCAGAGCTGGACTACCTCACACCCCCATATCAGTCTTTTCTCTTTGTTTTGTGGACTTCTGTGAATATAAGTGGAATTTTTTTTTTTTTAATCTATATCCAAGAGCCAGGCCGAGAAAGATAAAAGAAAACCCTTCCTTGAAACGCACGTTCTGTTTTTTAACCTGTCTTGGGATGACTGCCAGTGAAAAATGACAGTGTTTGGTAGAGACCCTGACTATCCCATAGGAGTGTGGCCCTGTGGTGCCAACACAGCAGCTGTGTTATACTGTGGCTTTCTCTCTCTAGTCGCAAACCCATGGTGCTAATGGATGGTCTCATGCCTTACATTGTGCAATAGTGTAACCCAGAACAGAAATGAACTTTAGTGGTGGACTGAATTGTGATGTTAATAGGACCAGTATAATAGGTTTGTTCCTTTATACCTGTCCCCAGTTAAAGAATTCTCTGGGATTTAGGTGAATTAGGTTCTGTTTCTTTATAACCCACTCATTGTCTTATGTCTTCTGTCTCTGGGCTTGTTTTTTCAGTTGTAATATTGAACTAGGCTGTATTTTTTTTCTGACTCTGTGAAGTTTAGCTATTATTATCAGAAGCATTTTAAGCTTTATAATTATAGTCTTTGAAAATATATTAGCACTTAAGTTAATAAGCATGTTTTTATACTATATTTAAGATATATACTTGGTCAGGTGTTACACATATCTAAAAACAGAATTGAGCATGTAAACAGTGCCTAGAATATAACAATAATTCTTTTTTAAAAATTTTTTAAAGATTTATTTATTTATTTTTTGAAAAGGGAACGGAGGGAGAAAGAGAAATATCAATGTGTAGTTGCATGTCGTGCACCCCGTATTGGGCACCTGGCCTGCAACCTAGGCATGTGCCTTACACTGGGAATCGAACCGGTGACCCTTTGGTTTGCAGGCCGGTGCTCAATCCACTGAGCCCCACCAGCCACGGCACAATAATTCTTTTCTTATGTAATTTCACAAGAAAAAAACAGATTTGTGATAATCCTTAAAATTCAGTTAACTAGAAAATTTATTATTATCTTTCTTTATTATTGTTCAGTTACAGTTGTCCAGCCTTTTGCCCCATTGCTTCCCCCTACTACATCACCCCCCCACTCCTACAGTCAGTTGCCTCCCCATCCAAGCCCGTGAATCCTCTATTCATGTTCATTTGCTTGCCCCTTCCTCATCTTTCCCCCTCCCCTCTGGTCACTGTCAGTTTGTTCTTTATTTCCAAGTCTCTGGTTCTATTTTGCTCATTTATTTGTTTTGTTGATTAAGTTCCACTATAGGTGAGATCACATGGTATTTGCCTTTCACTGCCTGGCTTATTTCACTTAGCATAATGCTCTTCAGTTCCATCCATGAGGTTGTGAAGGGTGGGAACTCCCTCTTTCTTTCTGCTGTGTAGTATTCCATTGTGTAAATATAACAGTTTTTTGATCCATTCATTGACTGATGGGCACTTAGGCTGTTTCCAGCACTTGGCTATTATAAATAACGCTGCTATGAACATTGGGGTACGTAGGTTCTTTTGAATTGTTGATCCTTAGAGTATAGTACCAGCAGCGGGATTGCTAGATTGAAAAGCAGTTTCATCCTCAGTTTTTTGAGGAAATTCCAAACTGTTTCCACAGTGGCTGCATCAGTCTGCATTCCCACCAACAATATACTAGGGATCCCTTTTCTCCACAACCTCGTCAGCACTTGTTACTTGTTGATTTATTAATGATGGCCATTCTGACCAGTGTGAAGTGGTATCTCATTATGGTTTTAATTTGCATCTCTCTAATGGCTAATAATGTTGAGCATTTTTTCATGTGCCTATGGGCCCTTTGTATGTTCTCCTTGGAGAAGTATCTGTTCAGGTCCTTTGCCCATTTTTTAACTGGGTTGTCTTCCTGGTATGGAGTTGTATGAGTTCTTAATATATTCTGGGGATCAAGCCATTGTCTGAGGTATCATTAGCAAATGTGTTTTCTCATGGTTAGTTTCCTTTCCATTTTGTTGATATTTTCTTTAACCATACAGAAATTTTTTAGTTTGATAGTTTAGATAGTTTAGTTTAGTTAGTTTAGTAGTCCCATTTGTTTATTCTTTCCTTTATATCCCTTGCCCTAGAGGGAGTATCAGTGAAAAATACTGCTGTGTGGGATATCTGAAATTTCCTGCCTATGTTCCACTCTAGGACTTTTATGGTGTTGTTGCTTATATTTAAATCCTTTATCCATCTTAAGTTTATTTTGCTGTATGGTATAAGTTGGTGGTCTAGTTTCATCTTTTTGCAAGTACTTGTCCAGATCTCCACACACAATTTATTGAAGAGACTATTTTTACTCCATTTTATGTTCCTGCCCCCTTTGTCAAATTTAACTAACTGTATTGGCATAAATTTCTTTCTGGGCTCTCTATTCTGTTCCTTTGATCTACGTGTCTGTTTTGATTACAGCGACCTTGTAATATAGTTTGATATCAGGTATTGTGATTCCTCCTACTTTGTTCTTCTTTCTCAAAACTGCTGAAGCTATTCAGGGTTGTTTATGATTCCATATACATTTTTGAAATATTTATTCTATATCTGTGAAATATGTCATTGGTATTCTGATAGGGACTGTGTTGAATCTATAGATTACTTTGGATAGTATGGACATTTTAATGATGCTAATTCTTCCAATCCATGAACACAGTATATGCTTCCATTTATTTGTGTCTTCCTTAATTTCTTCAGTGTTCTGTAGTTTTCTGAGTACAAGTCTTTTACCTCCTTGGTTAAGTTTATTCCTAAGTATTTTATTTTTCTTGTTGCTATAGTAAATGGGATTTTTTCTTTAATTTCTTTTTCTTATACCTCATTGTTGATATACAAAAATGCCTTCAATTTCTGAATGTGGACTTTGTATCCCACTGTTTTACCAAATTCATTTATTAGGTTGAGTAGTTTTTTGATGGAGTCTATAGAGTTTTCTATGTACACTATCATGTCATCTGCAAACAATGACAGTTTTACTTTCTCTTTTCAAATTTGGATGCCTTTTATTTCTTTTTCTTGTCGATCACTATGGCTAAAACTTCCAATACTATGTTGAATAGAAGTGGTGAAAGTGGACAACCTTGTCTTGTGCCTGATCTTAGATGGAAATGAAAATCTATTCTTTAACTCTTATACGTAACTCATTTGTTAAAATCCATCTCCCTCCCTCCGTTTTTTCCTTCCCTTATCCTTTGGATTATCTGTTGTACAATTCCCCTCCCCTATTTTTTTTTTTTTTTGGCTTAGAGAATTGAAGGATGACAGGTTAAAGGTATTCTTCATGAATTTTGCTTTTTAAATATGTGTTTATTCATCATTTTACTCTTAGTACCTAGCAGATTGTCGTGTACAGTAGATGCTCCTAAGTGTTGCTTGAATGAATGTACATATTTGCTTTTATCTTTTTCCCAATATTAAAGTAACTCAGAAAATGATTTTTAAATTTTTATTATTTTAAGAAAGGTGACTCTTGTGATGGTGGGACTTGATAATGCTGGTAAAACGGCAACGGCAAAGGGAATCCAAGGAGGTAAGCTGAAAATATTTATTATTAAATTATTCCAAATTATTTATTTATTTAAATTGCTTTGTTTCATATTCATTGAGTAAAGCTAGTGTGCACTCCATTACTTTATATTCTCACCATACTATGGCTAATGTGGTGAATAGACTCTGGCTTCATAATACCAGTGTGTTATCCTGTGTCAAATTTGAACAAATGCAAAGAGGCTTTTATTAGCTAATAGGAATCACATCTGTCTTCTAGCCCATAGGAAGGAAAAAGTGAAAAAAAAAGAAAAGAAGCTGCATGACTCTGCTTATAAGGACACCCATCTCCTACCTCTATTTTCTTGTCCAGAATTTAGTCGCAAGGCCTTTTATTTAGGGAGGTAGAAATATAGTTAGCCAGCACAACTGTCTGAATCTTTTGATTTTTTTCCAATATGTAATTTTTAGAGTTATAGTAAAGGTAGGGCCTCTGTGTTATTAAAGGGTTTTATGTCATTTATATTTCAACTCATTGGATGTATTTCTTTACCCTTAATTTAACGCTTTGTACTACAATATAGAAATAACTGTGCTAGAGAGTTTTTTGTGTACCCAGGAGATGTAGTACCATCCAGGCATCTTAAGGGTATGAATTGGGAAGAAACAACATATGTTGTTTCTGAAAATGAATGTTTCAAGAGGATATCATGCATATGGATGGGGGAGGGCTTTTACTTATGGAAGTTTGTGGAAGAAAATTAACACTTTGCAAAACTTTCTGTTGGAGAAAAACATTTTGTCACCCTAAATTTCACTATGTAACATTAGGTGTAAATAACATATTATTGCCTGCGGATTCTTCCAATGCCCTTTAGGTACCCTCACGCTATGTCCTCTCAGCGCACTCACTGTAATCATATAAACCAGGGTTAGCAAACTTGTGCCAAGAGCCAGACAGTAAACATTTTAGACTTTGAGGACCATGTGGTCTCTTTCTCAACTATACAGCTCTGACATAGTAGTTTGAAAACATCCATGGAAAGTATGTAAACAAACAAGCATGGTCATGTTCCACAGAAACTTTATTTAGTGTGTAATGAAATTTAAAACACATTCTTATCCTGAGAGCAGTATAAAAACAGGTAGCAAGCCAGATTTGGCTTTTAGGCCATGACTGCTTTATCTAAACATCTTCCTTTCTTTCATTCCTTCAAAGCCTTACATTTAAGGATGCAGGCTCCAAGAATCTGAGAATCAGATCATGTGATTTGTTATGTATACTTAGAATATCCTCTTTCCATTAGGTTCTTCCTCTTCTGTTTTCCACTTCCATACATCCATCAGCTTCTCTGAGATTAGAAAATGCTCAGGGTGTCAAATGAACAAATAGTCAAAACTGCTTTCAACTTTGAGCTTATTTCTGGCTCTGGTTTTGTTCTTCATCTCATATTTACCAATCAGCCTACTCCAGTGACTGATTTCTTACCTTTTATTCTTTTTTAAAGATTCTAGTTATTTAGAACTTCTTGAACTTTTCCAAATTGAGCCTTTTCATGCCTTTGTATTTTTGTTTATTCTGTTTCCACTTATCTTACTAAAGAGAATATTTCTGCTTATCTTTAAAGAGAGAATATCTACTTATCTCTGAAGATATATTATTGTAATATAGTTTCCTTCTTAATGAAATCCTTTTTTCTGCTCACCTCATTCATTACCATCAGTAGAATTGACTACTTCCTCTGTTTTGACCTACTCTTACCCAGTCCTGCTTGTATTACTACTCAATTGCCATTTTGTTTATGTATCTCTCAACCTCTCGAAACTGTAATTTCCCACAGGGCACTTTTATTCATTTTGGTGTCCCAGTTCAGGCCATGCCTTAAGTGTAGTAGGCAGTATTCTTAAAACATTTTACTCATGACTTCTACTCTTCAGCTTATTTCTGGCTCTTCTCTGTTTGTTTCTTTGTTTTGGTATTTGCTTGTTTCTTTTGAGATATATCTCCTACCTCTCCAACTGTATTGCCATTGTCTAAATCCAGACCTGCAAAGTCCCTCATCTGTATTGTTACAGTAACTTCCAAATCTAAACATGCTTTCCCTATCTTGAGCTCAACTTCTTTCAGTCAACTTTTCTTCATGTCTGTCAAAATGATTGTATTAATTACAGACTTGGTTGTTGTAACAGAAGTAAAATAACAGCTGCTTAATGAAATGAGAGTTTATATTGGAAATAGGTTTGGTTGTTGTAAAAGAGAAGTAATAACAACAGTTTAACAAAATAAAAGTTTATTTCTCTCATAACAATGCAGGCAAAACTAGTGTAGGGTGGCATAGCATCTCCATGGTGTTAGGAACTCAAGTTCCTTCTATTTGCTTTGCCATTCCACGTGTTCTCCCATGCCTTCTGGTCCAGCGTGGCTCATGATTGTAGTGCATTTAGTCATGAGCAAGGAAGGAAGAGATAAAGGGCAAAGGGAAGCCATTCTTCTTTCCTTTAAGGTGTGGCCAGAAGCCAGCACCTGCCATTCAGCTCACCTGCCATTGACTAGAATCAGTAGTGTTCTGGGTCCGGCTCCTACTTGTGTTTATTACCTTACATCAGTTAGCGAAAGCTAACTATGCACATCTCTTTTCCAACTCTGTGTTCAGGTACCCCGTGTTGGTAGTTTGAAATGGGCCACAGTGGGAGTATTTACACTATAGAAATTGGCGAACTCTGCATATCCTAGTTCCCCTGACCCAATTAAACATTTGACAGCATACCACCAGCACACTACTTAGAACCTGCTCTCACAGCCACACCTAATTTCTGTAGAGACTAGGGAATGTAGTCTTTATTCTAACTAGCTCTATGCTCAGCTAAAATAATCTAGGATTCTTGCTGACTATCCAATGCTATTGCCTAAAAGTTCCTAAAGAACTATGGGTATTTTGGGTGGGCAAATTCTTTGTGTAATTTGGTCCCTATCATTGTTGGAAGTTAACACATCTTTATTATATTGTAGTTAATTTTATATTGGGTTGGCCAAAAAGTTCATTAGTTTTATTTTTCCATAAGATGGCTTTAGTATTGCTTAATCGTCTTTAACTTCATTTGAAACAATTTTGTTAGACTGTATTGTGACAGCTGTCATATCAGCTTGCATTTTAAAAAAACATAAAAATTGGTGAATTTTTGTGTAGCCATTTTAATATTGAGATGGAAGAAAATATACAACATTCTCGGCATATCATGCTTTATTATTTCAAGAAAAGTAAAAACAGCTGAAGTGCAAAAAAAGATTTGCGCAGTATATGGAGAGGGTGTTGTGACTCATCAAATGTGTCAAAAGTGGTTTGCCAAGTTTCGTGATGGAGATTTCTCACTGGATGATGCTCCGCAGTCAGGTAGACCAGGTGAAATTGATAGAGATCAAATCAAGGCATTGCTTGAGGACAATCATTATTATAGCACACAGGAGATGGTCAATGTGCTCAAAATATCTGAATCAATAAAATTATTGGTGAAAAAGAAAAATGTGTCTTTTATTTTATGGAAAAAAACATAGACTTTTTGGCCAACCCAATAGAGGTTTCCTCTTTTTTCCTCTTATGTAATAGCTCTTTAAGATCAGAAGATGGATCTTATTATTAATCTTTGTATATTTAGGACCTTACACAATGATTAGCATATAACAGATATTCAATAAATAGTTATTCGTTATATATTTTAATTTTATGTTGGACTTTACAGGTATTGTCTTAACACATAGGCTTACTGAAATCCTTATGGTTGGACATATGTCTTTGTACTCTTCTGTGATGCCTGATCTACATAGAATAGGCTCTCAATAAATGAGTATGAGCATGGATAGATGGATAAATATATGGAAGGAAAAAGGAAGAAACAACATAATGACAGCAGCTTTAGCTATCTTAGCAGTCTGGTGTGGTGAAATTGAGCCACTATATGATTTGTGCTGAGTGCTAAAATTACAAAGACAGGTCCCAGCTATTGGGAAGGTATAGGCTATTGTGAAGACCAGCAAGAAGACAGAATTTGTGATAGAGGCTATAAGTGATCATGGAATTAAGAAGGACTCATCAGAGAGGGATTTAGGGGAAGATTGTAACCTGAATTTTTGTTTTGTGTATTGAAACACAGAATCATAAGTAGGAATCAGAGGAAAGAATAAGAGAAGTGGGGTAGGGTGTTCTATATATTAAAAGAAACAAGCTTTAAATGTCCTGAAGACCTGGATTTGACTTCTGGCTCTGACTACCATGTAACCTTGAGAAAATTACCTAATCTGAATTGGTTTCCTGGGAGTATTGCCATCATTTTATCTGTGCTGACATTGCTTCCCTGCCTAGAATGTGCTCCCTTTGTTATAATCTTGTAGCTCTTAAGACTTCACTGTCATTTCATTTCCTTTGTGAAGTCTTTCTAGACCACGACTCACCCCTCCCTCTTCTTTGCCCTTTTCCACTTGAATGCCCTGTCTCTCAGTTTGGGCTGCTATAACAAAATGCCATAGAAGACTGGGTGGCTTAAACAACAGGTATTTCTCATGGTTTTGGACCCTGGAAGTCTGCAATCATGGTGCCAACATGGTCAGTGATTCCCGTTTCCTGGTTTACTAACGTTCATCTTCTCACAGTATCCTCAGGTGGAGGAAAGAGAGAGAGGAAACAAGCTCTCTTGGTCTCTCTTGTAAGGGCACTTATCCCATCATGGGGGCTTCACCCTCAAGACTTCACCCAAATCTAATTACATACCTCCTAAAGGCCCACCTTCAAATACCATCACATTGGGAGTCAGGTCCAACATAAGAGTTTTGTGGGGACACAGACATGCAGTCCTGACACCTTCACACTGTCCTCTCCAGACTTTTCCACAGAACTTACAGTTCTTACACCGTTCCCCTTGATGTTCTGTCTCTGTATTGTACTGTGTGTAGGAGAGCAACCCTATCTTATCTGTACATCCTAATGTCTAACAAAATCTTGGTACTGAGTAGGTGTTCTGTATATTTTAGTTCCCCTACCCCTATTCCAGCATATTTATTCTCACTGATAATGTCCTGAGGATATCTCTTAATCATACTCAAAGACAGCTGCCTGTTTTACCTGTGGAAATCACTTCTGGCCTGGACTAGATTCATACTTTAAAATGTCTGGTATAATCCTGTTTTTTGAATATCAGTCTGCCTATACTGCTTTCAGACTTGCCCATTTCTCCTAGATAAGGAAGTCTTACAAAAATGTGCCTTGTTCAATTTTGCTCAAGTCAGATTTTTGTAAGACTAAGAACAGACAGTGACCAGAGAGGAGGAGGAGGAAGGGTTAGGATTAGCCAGGGAACACGAATAGAGGACTCATGGGCATGGACAAGGGGGAGGGAGGAAGGGGAGAGAAATGGAGAAAAAGGTGGGACAACTGTAACTGAACAACAATAAAAAAAAAAAGAAAAAATGTGACTTGTAATGTCTCTGTTAACTTTCTTGGAAGCTGTATAAAGTGCTTGGTGAAAGGGAGTGGTACATTGTTAACTTTCTTGGAAGCTGTGTAGAGTGCTTGGTGAAAGGGAGTGGTACATTGCAAGTCTATTTCTCAGTCATATGGAAGCCTAGCAGCAAAAAGCTTTCAAATTTGTCTCTATAATAGCACATTTTGAATGTGGGATAAGACCCTCTAAACAGTGTTATTCATTAAAGCTTTCTGAAGTGGTAGAAACATTCTATATTGGCTCTGTCCAATAGGGTGGGCGACTAGCCACATACAGCTTTTGAGTACTTAAAATGTAGCTAATACAGCTGAAGAATTGAATTTTTAATTTTATTTAATTTTGATTGATTTAAAGTTGAAAAGCCTCATGTAGTTTGTGGTTGTGCAGCTGTAAACAAAGTCCAGTGGAGTAATATTTGTTGTGGATTCCAGTGGTGGAGAAAGAATGGAAGAGACAGACATGAAGTCTAAACTCTTCTTATACATCTTGTACCTTCTTTGTGTTGTCATATACAGAAGTAAAACAGAAAAAATTCTTGTAACTTACAAATTTACAAGAGTATCCAAAACATGTTCCTGTAGAAATAATGAAATCTACTCTATATTTGTAAGCTGCCCTCACAAGTCTTTTCATTCCAATTATAACTTGAATTCAGTTAATTAAAAAAGATGGTCCTATTCTTCATAGCTTCTACCATTCTTTGGTTCTTTTAAACTGTTCTATAAATGTTCAGATTTCCTTTATAACTCTATAGAGCTTGTTATGGTTTCTGGGGGCATCTATGGTATTGAATGGTTGAAATTTTTATTTTTTGTATTGGACAGTAAATAGTCTTAAAGGCAAAAGTTCACTTATTTATTCATTTACAAGTACTTACTAAGTACCTATTATATGGTCGTCATTATATTAATAAAAACAAATGCAAACAGAAAAAGAAATACCTATCTGTGTGGAGTGTAAATTCTAGTTGGATATTTTTTATAGTATCCACTCTTGCCCCAAATCAGTAATGCTTATTCTGTAAGGAAATAATAAACATTCCATTCCATTCTTCTAAAGTATGATACTTTATGTATCATTTAAGTTGTAAAGTTAAATTGTTATTTATTAAAGTCTAAAGATTGTGTTGTGTTTTTTTTTTTTTAATATTTGAAACAGAGTATCCTGAAGACGTAGCTCCTACGGTTGGATTTTCCAAAATTGACCTTAGACAAGGAAAGTTTGAAGTCACCATCTTTGACTTGGGAGGTGGAAAAAGAATTAGGGGAATCTGGAAGAATTATTATGCTGAGTCCTATGGGGTAATATTTGTTGTGGATTCCAGTGACGAAGAAAGAATGGAAGAGACAAAGGAAACAATGTCAGAAGTGTTAAGACACCCTAGGATATCTGGAAAGCCCATATTGGTGTAAGTAATGTTGGTTTTATTGTAAACGTAGAGGCAACAGCATTAGCTAATAAAGAAATTTACTTAAGTTACAGAAGACTGAATAAGCTAACATAGTCAAGCCTTCGTATAACAAAGTGCATGTTAGTTAACTGGGAGTTGTTAATATACTGAGGCCTTATAATGCTATCCATAGGGATTAAAGGTTGAGGCTGTATTATGAAGAAGCCTTATAATTGGAGCTCTTGGGTATTCAAATATAAACTCTTTGTTTTATTTGATAATTTACTTCATATCACATTTTGCATTTTTAACAAACTATAGAAATGATCCCTGAAAGTATAGTCTTTACATTTTGCATTTTTAAATGGTTTATTAACAAGGTTCTAGAATGGTTTTCAAATGTTTCCTCCTTTAAAAATTAATTTGTGTTTTGCCTTTGTTTGAAAGTTATTTAAATGGTTTATTCTTCTAATGCCACATTGATTTCTCAATTTTTACTTCTATATTTCCAAATTAAACCTGTGATCTGTCACTTAGTCACATGCTTATATCATTTGTCCAGCCACCTAAACCTTTTTAAAAAACTGACAAAGGACTTTTGCATTACTTGCCCTTATAGCATTTCTGCATAGTAAGCACCAGATGGTGCTATAACTACAAGACAGCAAAATGAAAACGGTTTAAATTGCTCCTAAGATTAGAAGTAAGCTGAATGTGTGCCCTTGCCTTCTTGTCCACGTGCCCTTACTCTTGTGATTCATTACTAAGAATAAAAAAGCAGACAAACATGTAGTTAAATGAGAAACTAAACAGAGTTTCTCAGTGGTCCTCAACAGTAAATGAGTAATTTTAAGTGAAGCAGTTTGTAAGCTCTAATTACAAGAAGTACACCTTCATTTCATTGTTTATTGGTAAAGCTCATACTGTTTAATTTTTATACATTTAACCGACTAGAGAAATTATTTGATTTACATAGTCAATTCTCACCTTTTTGAATCTGAAGGAAACTTTAATAGACATATATACAAAGAGGCACTTTGTTGAAACCCATAGGCTAAATTAGTCTACAGGTGTTTAAGCAGGAAATCAGTGTCTTCTAAAGTAAAAAATATTAATGACTGATACTCATTTGTGAAGTAATTGTATATGCTTTTTTAAATCTAATAGTCATTTATTTATTCTTTCATGCTTTATTCATTCATGCATGCATTAATTTAGCAAATACTGAGTATCCACTATGTGCTAGGGGCAGTTCTGGTAATGGGGATACATTTGGGATCAAAAACAATAAAAATCCATGTATGACCTCAGGAATTTTAGTCTAGGGGGTGAGACACACTGAATGTAATAAATAAATTATGTCATACATTCGGTAATAAATGTATTGGAAATAAAGCAGGTAAAAGAATATCGGGAATCCTGTGACAGGGACATGTTACTCTTATAAGTATGATAAATATAGATTTGATTTAGAGGATGACACTTGAGGTGAAAGTCATTCCGACAGATGGACCTCGGAAAGCCCTAGAGCAGGGGCCTGCGTTCACGAGTCGGCACTGACTGCCGGGTGATCGAGTGACTGTCAGCGAGAGATCTGCTTTCAATTCCATCGCCTCTCAGCTAGTAAATTCCTAGAATAGAAAGAGAAAATCCGCAACTAGGATCATTGCTTCACCATTAGTCAGTAATTTTATAGTGAGATCTCACAATGATACGAGAATTAATTATGGGTGGTATAATGTGTTTATGAAATACGGTTTGCCATTTGACCAATTTTTTTCAAGCAAATTTACAACCATACAATTCTTATTAAGAAAGGTACACTGCTCTTTGAAAATGAATGTGCTTCAAAAATACACAAAATGTACAACAAAGTATATTCTTAATTAATTTAGAATATATAGGAAAGAATGAGTTTTTAAAAAATGGTTGACCTACCATGCAGAGTGAGCCACTTCTAACATTTTAATGAATCTCCTGTGGATATTTTTGTAAAAATGTGATGTATGCAACGATCATATAATACATAAAATTTTGTATCCCACTCTTTCTTATGTTTCTATCCCTCTTAAGTATCTTCCCAAGCCCCATATTTGGGGCTCCCTTCTTTACCTCTTTCTCTCTGACCTACAATTAATTTCTCTTGTTGTTGATGTTACTGTCTGAATACCATTCAAATCTCTTTACTACTCTTTGTTCCCTTTGGTGTTACCGCCTTTTCATCCCCTTTTCCTGTCCCCCTTGTGTTACTGAGCGCAGTGCCGTGGTTTCCTACCCAGTCCCCCTCAGTGCCAGCAGTCTTCCCTATGCTCTACTCTCCTGTACGTTCCTAGCAGGAGCTCTTTTATTTATTTGATATTTTCTAAATTATAAAAACTGATACATGCTCTCACATGCTTTAACAAGTGATATAAAGCAAGAATATGAAAAGAATATGAGTGTTCTTTTTAAAATGCAATTTTGATCATTTTACTATTCCTCTGCTTAAAGCCCTTTAGATTACTCATAGTTCCATGCAGCTAGGAAATTTTGTGTTTTTTTTTTTTTAACTTATATAACTCTAGCACCTAATAAGTATGACATTGAAAAGGCTACTGGATCCTAAGTGGGAAGGGCTCCAGCAGAACCAACCCTACTAAGCGCAGTGCTAGGGGCTGGCAGGTTGTGGAGAAGTACCTGAGTTAGGAGGCAGACTGCAGTGCTCCTTGTTGCACACACTTCTCAACTGCAGAATCCAAGTACAGCATCTAATCTCTTCTGTTCACCGCTTGTCTGAGCCACACTAGTTGACACAGGTTCCAGAAGGCCTCTTAGAACTCACTTACACATCCAGTTGATTTTCTTTTCCCAACCTCTAATAATGGGCACATAGAGAACAACCACAGACCTCTTCAGTCATTTAATAGAAGAAAATAAACCTGAAGAATTAGAATCTTGTCTATAATCACAAAATTACAAATAGGTAGAGCCAGATTCATTCATATTATGGAAAGCGGTGTAGATGACCGCAGAAGCAGGTCCTGGACAGTCTCAGCCCCGCATCACTTGCTCCTGCACACCAGTCGGACAGCATATGCCACTGCAAATGAAGCCTCAGCCAAATTTCACTTTATGTCATGGACTTGAGAGTTCTCTTGAAAGGTCAGAATCATAGAACATCACTAGGCTTCTGTGTTTTATTAGCTCAGAAGTTCTGTTCGGCAGATAGTAGTTGAATGTCTCTTCTAGAATAGTAGCTATAAAATATTGTAATTTTGAATTTCTATTCATCTCTGTATAATAACATGAACCATACCCTAGCTATCCCACGAATCCGTTTCACTAAAAAGGTAAAAGTGATTTGTAGTCTTTCTAAAGAGAGCAAAAATAGATGCCATGCAAACATTCTGCTCTGTAATTAACCTGATATTTACCTAGAAAGTCTTTCTTTTTCTCATATCTACTATAGAGATTAACTTTATAGTCTGATTTACTAAGGTGTGAACTGTTATCTACCCTCATGCCCCCCACACTAGTGTTTTAACCATTTATAACTTAATTTTTATTATTTAAAAAATATTTTATTTGCTTTTAGAGAGAAGGGAAGGGGAGGAGTAAGAGAGGGAGAGAAACATCAGTGTGTGGTTGCCTTTCATGTGTTCCCTTCTGGGGACCTGGACCACAACCCAGGCATGTGCGCTGGCTGGGAATCGAACCAATGAACTTTTGGTTTGCAGGCTAGCACTCAAACCGCTGAGCCAGACCAGCCAGGGCTATAACTTAATTTTAAACCAAAAACTAGATTATACCAATAGATAAAGAAGACCTTTCCAAGAGAAAAAATAATCAACTTTTGCAGTTTTATATAGCATTGAAATCAGCAGTAATTACAAATTTGAAGCTCAATGTCCACCATAGGCATTTTCCATTAATAATACAAGGCATGTAGATGTTTCCAGCAAAGCTATCATTTAGAATTGAAGGGCAGATAAAGTGCTTCCCAGACAAGGTAAAGCTAAAGGAGTTCATCATCACCAAGCCATTATTATATGAAATGTTAGAGGGACTTACTTAAGAAAAAGAAGATCAAACTATGAACATTAAAATGGCAATAAATTCACAACTGTCAATGATTGAATCTATAAAACTAGCTAAGCAAACAAGCAGAACAGAAACAGAATAATAGATATACAGAGCATTTAGAGGGTTATCAGGTAGGAGGGGGAAGGGAGAGAATGGGGGAAAAGGTGCAGAGTACAAATTGGTAAGTACAGAATAAACAGGGATGTTAAGAACAGTGTAGGAAATCGAGTAGCCAAAGAACTTATATGCATGACCCATGGACATGAACCAAGAGGGGATTGCTGGAGGGGAAGGAGGGGTACCAGACAGAGGGGGGCAAAGGGGAAAAATTGGGACAACTATAATAGCATAATCAATAAAATATATTAAAAATAATACAAAACAGTATTTGTATATTACCTATGGAAAGAACAGCTGGGAGGTATTTTAAATAGTGAAATTTTCAGCATCCAAGGTTACGCTGATGTTACAAGAGATGTTCTTTCTACATCTCTCTCTAGCATAGTCTTAAACGTTAATCTCAGAGAAATAGTAAATTATCCTCCTTTTTTTAATGGTTGAATCTCCTAATATTTATCATTGGAATGACTCTGGAGATGCACAGGCTAAAATTTCCTCCCAGGGTCGTAACAGTTCTACTTTGCATTAGCACACTTGAACTCTTGGAATTGTGCTACTTTCTCATTACATACTATCTGCTTTTCTGTGGAGTTATATGACCTAACTTAACTTTCGCCCAGATCTCACTAATGGGATGCTTTCACAACAAAAGAGATAAAAATAGAGGAGTTTCAGTAAGAGAAGAAACATAATATCTCTGATACAATATCACTAGATGTTACAAATATTTCAATAAAAAAGGTTTATTTTTTTCATATTTAAAATCTGTTTATTAAATAAATGTTCCTTGTTTCTCATTCAGGATATGTCAGAGGGGCCTGGGTCCTTGTTCCAAAAGCAGAAGCACAAAACAGTGTCAAAATCTAAAAAAGAGTTTTTTGATCTGGAGGTTTTGCACCACCGGTGGCCTCTCAGGACCCTCTGAAATCACATACACAATTCTGAGCATACATGCATTTTTCTTGGGAGTAGATTGTAGCTCTCATCAAATGCTGAAAGGATTTCATGACCAAAAATGTCAAAAACCATGACAGTGAGTTTTCATATTATGAGAAACAATAACTAAGCTTTTATTTTTCAATGTGGGATTTTTCTCTCTGACCTTTATATATCTACTTGACTCACCTTCCTTCTGGATAACATTACAGGCAAATGTTAGTTTGCCAGTGTTTTTTAATCATACTCTTTTTTTTCTTTTGTACCCCGAAGAACTTAATTAGGTAATGATTTTCCTAATACCCATTGGATATTTGGTCAAATGTACTTTTACTAAGTAAGACCTTTAACTAATAAATAAAAGAACCTCAATCCTTTTTAGAGTGCTAGAAACCCAGAAGTGGATTACCTATGTCACTTGATCCTTAGATATAGTGGTGAGTACTTTAATTTTACTATTTTTTCCATCTGAAACCCCTACTCACTGTATTTATAGGGTCCATTGTCTTAAGATTTCTCTTTTTTCAATAGAACTTTACAAAGCTGTCATCTTCATAAACCTCACTTAGTTACACTGTTGGCTCACCTCCAGACTTCTTGCTGAGGGCTTCCATTGTCTCTTAAGGGCATCTAGCTTCTCTCATAGCAGCTCTAGTTTACACTAAGCTTCTCAGCTGGTTGATTTCCTTGGTAATTTATGCACAAGGAACCTGAAGAGGTTCCCATTCTTCCCTTCCCAAGCCCAGCACATTCTATTTTAAGAGAAAATAACAAAAACCTATTGACAATGTTGTTAAGCAGCAAGATGTTGTCTAGGGATCACCTGCATGAGGCTCAAGCCCAGGTCCCCTAAATTTTAGAGGGTAGGGCCAGGACTGTTTCTATTTCTCCCTGCCCACCCCCGGCCCCCAGTTTTTTCCAGATCATTGTGATGCACAGCAGAAATTGAGAGCTACTGGTAAGGAAGGGGAAATTGTGGGCTTTAGACTCAGTCCTTGGATAGCTTACTTAATCTTTCTGAGCTTCTGTGTCTTCACTTGTAAATAAGGCTTTGTGCCAGTGTTGTCATGTGAATTACAAATAATGTATTTAAAGCAGCTAGTGCAGTACTTTACTGGTGTTCTATAAATGTGATGGTGGATATGAAGTTATTATTAATTATATATTGTGTCCAGATAGAAATGAGTTAGGAGATCCCGTTTTGAAGTATCTTATCATATAAATTTACATGAAGCTTTTGATTACAGAAAATAATATAGTTTAATGGGTAGGAATATGAACCTAAGTACTCACATTACTTTTATTTTTAATATTGCATACATTGAGAACCAATAGGTTACTGATACTGTGCCTCCATTGCTTAAAATTTTTATAATTAAGGTAATGATTTTAAGGAAGAATTACTAGTAGTGCTTATTAAGTATGTGAATAAAACATACAAAATGTTCAGCAACTAATTTGTTAAATACCATGTTATTTTTGTTGCTTAGGTTAGGATGATACTATGGTTTCAAAATACAACAAAGTTGTATATGACATATTGCTGTGAAAGTGTCTGTGCTGAAGTCTTGCTTGAAAGGTACCACATATAGATTATAAAAACTAATTATTATTTTACAAGTCCATCTGGATAGAATTATGCCAATGAATATTACACAGTACTTCATATTCTCAGTTTTCATGATAAACAGTTTAGGAACAATTATAAACAAGTATCAATACTGTACTAGAAGAAAAGATATAGCACAACTTTAGAAGGGACAGAAGAAATGTGTCCGTCACCACCTGATTAGCTTGAGAGTTTATCATCAGTTTTAAATTTATCTTTTTTATAATGTTCCTGAAACATTTGAAGCTGGCATATGTGATACATCTTTTTCTTCAGTAATGCTTGATAACTGACACAGTGGAAAGCTCTCCAATTTCTTTATATTTTAGAAATTAAAATTATTTAATAATGTTAGGAGGTATATGTATGTATCTATCTGTTCTCCCTTATTCCCATTGTACTTTCAGTTAATAATTTTGCCTCATACTTCCTTGAGGAAGTGGAAACTGTCCCACAAGAATTCCCATTTTCTCACCACCAAATTTGCTCAACTACATGTTTTTATTCTAAACCTTGTCTTTTCCTATAATAAGGAAAAGTTGTTTCTGCTCCTATCCAAGGCAGCTTCTGCAACTGTACGCCAGATCCCAGCCCTTTCTACTGTGCCATGTAATCCCTTCCCTTTCTTATATCAAGAATTTCTCTCTGCGGATTATTCCCGTTAGCAGAATAATGTGCTCTTGTGTTTTTTAACTCTATTACACAGTCCTTTGACTCTTCCCCCTCTACCCCCGCCCCGCCCCCGCCCCAGCTCTTTACTCCTTTTTTATGGTCTACTCAAACTTCTGGAAGGGACTGTCTGTAATGGCTATTGTCATTCTTCATAGCACATCCTTTCTTCAATACATTCCACCTGTGCTTTCATCCCTACAATTCCTTGAAACTGCTCTAGTTGAAATCAGTAAATTATCTCTATATTCCCAAGTCCATTGTCATTTGGCCATTCTTATTTTACCTCACACCATGTCCTCAACTTTGTTTATATTAAACACTTTTTTTTTTTTTTTGCATTTTGCAGTACTTGCAGTACATTTCATGGTTTTCGTTCTACTTCATTATTGGTTTCTTCTCAGTCTTCTTTACTAACTCCTTTTTCTGCTTTAAATGTAAGTTTTGGAATAGCCCAGGCTCTTGTTTTGGACTTCTAGTTTTTTTTTGTATCTATATACTTTTTAGGTGACTTCATCCTAAAGTCATCTGACCTAAAATACCATTTATTTACTCAAATGACCCAGATTTATACTTTCAGCCCTGTCCTCTCCCAAGAGTTCCTACTGATATCACTAATATCTTATAAACCTTCACTTCAACTTTTTATTATCATCACAGATTCTCTTAGCCACACCTTCGTTTCTGTCTTTTTCCATCTCAGTAAATAGCAATATCATCTCATCAGTATCCTGTAGTTTCTATCTATTAAGTCTATCACAAGTTAGTCTAATTTTTTTTATCACCACTGTATAATATATAGTATTTAAAAGCTGATTCTGAAATCGTACTGCCTGGGTTCAAACCCTGACTCTCTTGATATAGTTTCTGTGACCTGGGATAGTTTACTTAGCCTTGCTCTATATCCCAGTGTTCTTGTTGGTAAAATTGTAAAACTATTAGAACAATGCTGGAACATAGCAAGTACTTCATTAATCCTGAGTATGAGTACTGCTGCTACCGCCATCACTACCTCCACTCTCATTCTAGTCCAAGCCTCTGTTCTCTCTTAGTAAGGCTATTTTATTAACCTTCTCATTGTTTTCTATACCTACATGCTTGTCTTCCATTCATCTGCCCCAAATCCATACAGTAGACAGAATGATTTTCCTCAAATATAAATTATATAACATTATTCCCAGGCCAAAATCAGTCTGGGGGCTTTTCATTGATTATACTCGATGTAAGTTTCAGACTTACATGGCTTACAAAGTTTTAACTGTAGCCCTTGCTGACCTTTCTTAACTTCATCTTGACTCTCACGATTCTTTTGGCACTATGATACAGCTGTACTATTCATTTTTCTTTGGACAGAGTTAATTATGCTTTCTGCAGGGTCTTTCTACTCTTTGTATCCTGTGCTTGGAATATACCATTCCTTGTCCTCATTATTTAGATTTTTACTTAATATTACCTTTCAGAAAGGCCTTCATTGATGACCCAATCAAAAGATGCTACCCTGATAGTCTCCTACCCATAATATCCTTATGTTAAGTCCGCCAAGAACTTAACATGATCTACTATTTGTATTTGTTACCTGTTTTCTCCACTAGAATGTGAGTTACAAACTACTATCCCTTTGTGAGTTCAAACTATATCCCTAGCCCATAATGCCTGACTTTACAAAAAAAGCGATGGAGAAACTTTTGAGAATACAGTTACCTTTATTTTTCACTTTATTTGCCAACCCTCCTAATCTATATGTAATACATTGTCCTGAATGGACCCAAGTTAAGGAAAACAGTGCCTTAATTTACCTTCTTAAATGAGATTCAGTTCCTGATTACCAGCTGACTCTTCATCAAGTACATAGTTGTTTTTAATCAGGATTTGTTGAATACTGAATTATTTGACATATCTGATCATAAAAGATATGATAAAGCTTCGGTTTAATTTTGCTTGAATATTGCATCCTTTGAGGTCTTGCTTTATGCAATTTTTAACTACCAAAATATTCTCAAACGAACCAACGGATTGTTAAGTAGTTGTCACTTGTTAACATTCATCTTCTAAAGGCATTGGAAATTATAAAAATATGTAAAAGAGCTTGATACCAGATTAGAAATTTAATATTCATCTCATCTTCAACAGCTAATTATACTATTTTTAGTTTAGTAAATGAAGACATTTTATGTCACTGGCTTCAGAAGTTTATGTAATTCTAGTGGGTGAGAGCTAAAGGGGGAAATGCTGACTCAATAGTGGTGAAAAGTATGTGAATTAATCTGTGAAAGGAAGAAAAACACTAAAATACAAGATATCCTTTATTCTAAAGCTGGAAAAATTTCTAAAACAGCTTCTCTATTTTGAGCCACACCATGGACAACACCAACAACACAGTACCCTGCAAGGATTTCTCTTTTTGTATTTTACAGCTAGCCCAAATTTCTCTTTAGTGGTGTTAACATACTCTTTTGTACCATTCACTACCATTTCAATATTGTTGATGCTCTCTCCTTGTTCCTCTACTAAGAGAGATATCTGAATGAAAAGCTCCCTTAAATCCTTTATTTGATTTTCCAAATTAACAAGTTCCTTGTGTCTCTGTTCTATCTCTGAGAGTTGTGCTTTAGTGATGTTGATTTCTGTAAGCAAGCTTTCATTAAACACTTCCCATTTTCCTTGCTGAAGCATATCATTTACTTCTTCTTCTGGTACTTCTTTTCCAGCAACTTCAAGCTGACGGAAAATGAATGTCTTGCACTTCTCTTGCTTTGTTGCTATTGTGTCATTGTATATAAACATAGTTTGCTGAAAATGGCGGAACATTGCAGCATGCTGAGATTTAAGTATCCTTGTGACCACTGATGATGGACCATTTTCAGCCTCTGATTTTTTTGCTTCTTTTACTAAATTATCCAAACCTCTCATAATGTGTTCTGCTTGGATTTTTATCTCTTTCGTAATACTAGACTCTTTCTTAAGTAGACTAAACCTTCTCATTGAAGCCACCAGACTCTTCTGTTGCTGCCCAAATTTTTGAACACCATCTGTCAAACTGGTAATGCTCTCCTGTAGCTTTTGGATCTCATGCAGGTGTCTTTCCGCTACAGGCTCTCTTTCATAAATGACAGCTTGCTGCAGAAACATTCCTTGTTCCTCTGCTTCTGTAGCTGGCACATGCCTGTCTCTAGAGAGTTCAAGTTCTTTTGTTCGTTGTTTTAGTTCTTGAAGTCGGTCCTTCATCTTCCCTTTTGTCCTAAAAAGCAAAAATGGTTGTGTTGAACAAAGAAAAGTATAGTATTTCCCCCTAGAGCACTTGGCTTCACATAGCTCTATCTATCTCCCAGGAAAAATCCTCCTACTTTTTGAAAAGAGCTTAAAAATTAGAAAAATCATTAAGAATTTTCTCATAAATGTCAGTAAAATAGACAAAGTAATGTATAATTACAGATTGCTTTGCATGATGTAGGACTACTGTGAGTCCTGTTCAGTTGAGTGAAGTAGCTGAGAAAACAGTGATAGAGATACAACTGCCCCCAGATAATTTTTTGTGTCATGAAATTGCCACATAATAATAGATTTTTTTTATATACATAGGAAGGTATATCTTAGAATGGAAGGTTTGACTTGACCATATCTTCACCTTTTAAAATTAAAAGGGTACCCTGAAAATGTCCTTACTGCTAAAGATACTGCTCCTGGTTAATTTGGTCTATGTAATGTTAAAAATATACTAATTTTGCTAAACATGCATAATTTAATTAAAATCAGTATAGTGACAGGGAAGATTTCTTATGAGAGTTTTAAGCAATATAGATAATGTTGAATTTATCTTGAAATTTCTGAGGCTTCACATTAATACATTATTTGACATAGTTCTATTTTCTTACCCATTGCATATGTATGAAAACATATTCTTGGTCTGATTAAACTGATTTCTCATTCTTAGCATTCCTTTGCAAAGATATCCAGACTATGTTAGAACAATATTTATATTAAGAGATATTTTTACAAACACAAGAATAATAAAATCTTACTTTGGTGGCCCTGATAATATTGACATTTATCACACCTTATGTTGGTAGTTATCCAAAGGATCAAACTGGTGTGCATAATTTATATATAATAATATACATTATTACATGTGTATGTATATCTAAAATGAAATGAATAAAAAGCGATCTTGTTAATAAAATACTTAATTTTCACAGAATATCTTGACTTTAGAAAGACATTTAAACATATGCCTTTCATGATATTTTGGAAGCTAATAAGTTGTTAAGGGAGCTACAAACAGCTCATTGAAACACACATAACATCAATATCAGAGAAAAAGGTCTCGAATGTTATGCTGTCATGCTATTAGACTCAGCTTTGATATATTTTTGCAAATATTTTTATCAATGATTTGGATGTTGTCATGAAGGCATGCTTATCAAATATGTTGATGGCACAAAATTTGGAGAGATCTTTATTATGTTGGAGTACGAGTTGGAATTCAAAGATTAAAGTACTATACTAAGAGTAACACTATTCTATAAGTAACAAAAATATGTTTAACCAGGGTAGATATGAAATATTCACGGACTTGTTTAGAAAACACCTTCACTACCCAATGGAGGGCCTTTGCATTCCAGCAGTGCTTATGAAAATTACTGGAGATTTTAGTTAATTATGAGCTCTCTATCAGAACTATCAGCATAGTCATTGTGCTCTCATGGATAATAGTGTGATACCTAGATTGAGTGAGAAAGGTGTTTGATCCACTGACTGTGCTAGTCAGAGCAAATGAGAACGGGACTATGGTAAGTTCTGAGTGTGATATTTTGAGATAAAAGCTTATAAATTAGGAATTTCCAAACTCTCATGAAAAGGAGATTGGAAGGCCACACACAATATATGGAAATTATTCAAAGAAATGGAAATATAGGGAATAGCTACAACTGTTTTCTAAAATGTGTAGGTCTGTATATGTAAAAGGAATTAGACTTACTTCGCATAACTCCAAGCGGCAATGGGTGGAAGTTACATGGAGAAAGGGTTAATTTATTATAAAGAAGACTCTTCAGACAAGTAGAGCTGTTCCGAGATGGAATGAACTGCTCCATGAGGTAAGCTTGCCATCACTGGAGATGGTCAGTGAGATGTTCTTGAATGATGATCAGTCGAGGGTGTTGTAAAAGTGATGCCTGCATTGCATAAAAAGTTAAACCAATGTCCAGATCATATTCCTTTCGTTTTACAGGACTGACATTTTGTCAAATAATTAGTGAGGCTTACTATATGCAGAGTTTTAAGTGCTGTTGTATATGAGTATATTCAGTAATACCTGTCCTTGAATAATTTACTGTGTAAGGGGAGATAGACAACATACAATTAAAAATGTTTAAGATGTCACATCACTTCCGATATAGCCATAAGCTTTTTCTATTTTAAATGGGCTCTTTTTAAACGTGATTTTTATTTTCCTTAAGATAACACACATGCACAGTTTAAGAAGTCAAACAATTTCAAAGCTTATAAAAGGCACACAGCCAACACCTGCAGGTTCCACCACACCTCATTTTCAGTGCCCACATCGCAAAGGGAGCCGTTGTCAGTTCCTTAGCTGATGTCATTTGCTTATGTAGGTGTTTCCTGCTTTTTCAGATTTAAAATTTATACTGAATCTTTGTTATGAAAGGTGTGGATTTAACTTTTTCTTACACCCCCATCCTTCCCTCACTTTTTACCTATCTATATAGTTATATCACAGTTTTTGGTTAATCAGTATTCTGTGTTAATATTGCTATGACTGACCAAGTATTATATATACCAGAGTCAAATAAAGTACTTTCTTTCTCATAATTTGTTTTAATTGTTTATAGGCCATGTCTCTGGCTAGAGCTAGGAAATTTATATAGCTATTTATTTTAAGAGAGCTTTTCATTGACCTATTTACACATATAAAGTGCCCAAAACAAAATGTATAATTTGATGATTTTTCACAAAGTGAACACACTCATGTAATCATTACACTAATCAATAACCATTTAACTTTTTAATTTTTTGAAATAATTAATTACCTAAGTTTTACAGTTGTTTTACTTAATATATATCACTAACTCATCTAAAACTCTTAAATTGACCTGAAAATACCATCTTAATATATTTAAATAGAATTAGGTATTCTATTTTTTTCCTTTCATTTTATTATTTCATCTTTTGAGGCTTCTTTTCTGGAACCCTCTAGTTTGACTTGATTTAGAGCTCTCGTAGGGATTTTTCTCTTTCTTGTATATCTCCTCCTGATACCTGGTTCCTAATATCTATTCCTGGTTTATCATTTAATTTGGGTGCATACCATAGCTTCCTTTTAAAATGTGAATGTGATCACTTTTATTTCTGAAAATGTTTTTATTCTATTCTTACATCTGAATGATACATTATCTGTGGATACAGTTCTTACTTGGAAATTATATATTCCCTTATAATTTTGAAAATTTTGTTGTGTTTTCTTCTTTTTTTGTTGCTGTTGAGAAATCTGCCATCTGATTCCTGATATATTTTTTAGAAATTTTCTTGGCCTTTTTATTCCTGGTGTTCTAAAATTTTACAATAACCTGCCTAGGGTAAGTCCTTCTGCAATATTTGCTAGACATTTGGTAGCTCTTTTCAATCTGAAAATTCATGTATTTAGGATTTGGGGGAGTCCTACCTTTTTAAAGAACTTCAGCTTCTCCATTTTCTTTGTATTCTTTTCTTTGGAGTTCCCCTTATTTGGATGTTAACTTTCTTAACTACTCTAATTTTCCTAGTGTCTGCAAGATCAAGTTTCTTGTCAGAGGCCACACAACTAAAAAGTGGCACGCCTTCATTCAGATATAAATCTACCAAATGCAGATTTGTGCTTTTCCCTTAATCCATTAGTGATAGATTATCCTAGTAAAACACACTGCAAATGAAGTTGATCTGTATAAAATATTGTATTATATTATTAGTATAAATACTTTGTTTAAAAGAAAAAAGTTCTTGCAGGAGTTAATACAGTATATCAGGTCTAAAATAATTATGGTATTTGCAGCTTTATTAGGATCTTAATCAAACCAAATTAAATACTTTGCAGAGAAGAAGAAAAGGAATTAGTTCCAATTTCATAGACCTGTGTCACAGGAAGTCTCTAAGAAATTTTCAGTCCTATCCTTGACATCATGTAGAGATTGAGGTTGTTATATTTTCTTCTCCTTTAGCTCATAGCCATAGGCTGAGATAAGATAGATAGGAAGTGAGATATACTTCATTCCTATTTATGTAGAGATGTCTCTTTCCTATTCTTGTACTAACCTGTACTATGAATTCTTAAAGCTACAAAGTATATACAGCAAATAGACTGTTTGTTGCACTATATTTCCTCTTTTATTTTTTTTAAAGATTTTATTTATTCATTTTTAGAGAGAGGGGAAAGGAGCGAGAAAGAGAAGGAGAGAAACATCAATGTGTGGTTGCCTCTCACACGGCCCCTGCTGGGGACCTGGCCTGCCATTCAGGCATATGCCCTGACTGGGAATCGAACCAGCAACCCTTTGGTTTGCAGGCCGGCACTCAATCCACTGAGCCACACCAGCCAGGACTGTACTATTTTTTTTTAAATGGACTTGAGTTCCTAATATGGGACAAAGAAAAGAGTAACAGTATTGGAGACTGAGATGAGCAATGGTGGGGATCAAAACATTTTGATTTTTTTATTTGTGAGAATGAATTTCTATCTATGTGTATGTGGCTGCTAAGAAGCATTTAATAACCTTTAAATTTCACAAAAACTATGATGTCTCCAACTTTCTCTTTGGTAGTATGACTTGAAACAAATCCTAAAACAGATCCTTCTAACAGTTTTATAGCTGAATAGATTTTTTTTAAATTAGAAATAAATGATCAGTTCTATCAAAAGTCTTTTTTCCTAAAGCATCCTAGTTTACTTTTTTTCTTTTTGTAAGAAATAGAATATTTCAAATTGATAGTGTTGCACAGTATTCCTTTGCAAAATACTTTTGGGATGCAGAATGTTACTGTCACTGGTTTTGGAAACCAAGGTATTTGACTATGATCCTTAATAAAAATCGTCTTTTCCTGGATTCCTATCGATGGATGACTAGTTTCCTGAAGGAGTACCATACTCATGTTTGAATAAAAGGTACTTGAAGAAGCTCTTCAAAATATATGGATATGTATTTTGTATTCATTAATTTTACTAGAAAAAATGAGTAAATATGCTGAATCTTTTTTATATAAATTTTGGTATGTTACTGGTATTACAGGAAAAACAGATTTCCTTTCAGGACTATATATCATGGCATATATAATATAGTAAGTAAATGATGTTTATATGAAGTTAACTATAAAGTTTATACTGTATTCATCTTGGTTTATAGATCCTATGGCTTCATTTATTTCCTTTGAATAACTTAAGGTATTTAGGTTAAAGATCCATTACATTATTAGGTTATTTTTGGTTTCTGAGGAATAAATACCTTTGTTGTGGCCACCGTCAGTTTTCTCTTGGTGGTGGGCAAGTAGATTTAGTGAACTTTGTCAATAGTTTATCTTCAGTGGGAAATTGTATTGTACAAGAATGCCTGGGCTGTGGCTGATGTGGCTCAGTGGATTTAGTGCCAGATTGCAAAGCAAAGGGTTGCAGGTTCAATTCCCAGTCAGGACACATGCCTAGGTTGCGGATCGGGTCCCCAGTGGGGAGAGCTCAAGCAGCAACTGCACATTGATGTTTCTCTCCCTCTCTTTCTCTCTCCCTTATCCTCTCTCTGTAAATAAATAAATAAAATCTTTAAAAAAAAAAAAAGGAATGCCTAGAGTGCCCTGCATGTGTATACTGTTTTTGTTGTTGTTGTTGTTGTTGTTTTCCCAGTATCTAACACTTTATTCCAGTTCCTGCTAGGCCAGATGAGCTAAAAGAGGAGAACACCCCCGCATTCCTGGCTTGGACATCAGTCTTCTGAATTACATTTAGAATCCGCTGAAGAATATTTAACTAAAATGATGAGTTGTTTTTCTCCATGGGAACCAGACATAGGCTTACATTACATATTACATAGTTTGACACACAAAAAAAATATGGGTGATCAGGAGTAGGAAGGTTACAAAATAATGAGGGTAGCACCAGGTACAGAAGACAAGCTGTTTCAGAACCTGGGGAGACAGGCTAATAATATGGCCTCTCCCTGCAATCCTGTCTGTAGTCAACCCCATCACCCTTGGAGTCCACCCAGCCGGGGCCAAAGCCACCTCTGTCCTTACTACCTTGGCCACCTCAGAAGCCCCCATGATCCCCACCTTGGCCTCAGTAGCCTCCCCGATCATAGCCTGCTCGGCTGCCATGATGATCATCTCCATAGCTATCCCCCTATGAGAGCCTCCTGGTCCTCCTCCTGGGCTGTCTGGTTCAGGGGTCTTACACTGGTTGTTGCATTCATTCCTCCAAGAGAAGTTTATGTTCTCACATGTAGAACTAGGACACTTCCACTAGTCCCTAGCTCCCTGCTGTCCTCCGTTGCCACCTCCTCCACTGGGGAATTCTCCCTGGCCTCCACCACCACTGTCGGCATCATCCAACCAGTCAGTAGCGGCTTCAGCAGAAGTGGGTCATCAAATGACACCGTTGCCTCTCCCTTCAGCTTCCCTTTCCCTGTGTACAGATTAATCATGGGATGTCTGATTTTCTTACTCGTCTTAATAATAGTAATAATACCAATCTGCTTGAGGTTATCAAAAGCAGACTCAATTGTGACATTCTCACTCAGGCCTTGAACGAAGATGGTGTTGTCTGAATTATCCTGTTCAGAGAGTCATGACATGATCCTTGGTCCTCAGAGCCACCCAATCTATTGAAGCCACCACAGCCACTTCTGTCTAAATTGCCTCTGCCTCCACAGCCACCCCCATGACCTCTGGGTTCATAGCCACCGCTGCATGGTTGTAACCACTGCCACTGCCACAGCCTCATCCCCCACGGTCCTGCAGGCCTCCCTTGGAGCCACCACCATCACTACCCTGGTCCTAATTGCCGTAATCTCAGCCACTACTGC